GCATCTTGTACAGCAATTAACCACTAAGAAGAATATATGCAGTGTGTTATTTGTTGAAACTGTACTTCCGATTTGATTTGAAACTGTCTCATTGATGTTTATCAATAAAATTTTGGAAAAAAACACACCAATATAGACAGTAAAAAGTGGAGATGTGGGCTGGTGAGATGGCTCAGTGGTCTAAAGCACCTACTTAGAACAAGCTTAGTAAAGCACAGGGACCGCGGTTCAATCCCCCAGCTCCACTTGCTAGCCATCCCTGCCCCCTGGTGGGCTGAGCTGGCCACACACACACACACACACACACACACACGCGCGCGCGCGCGCGCGCGCACACACACACACAGAAATAAATAAAATTTTAAAAAAGTGGAGATGTCATTTAGGGAGTTGAAGAATGAAAGGACTCATGTGGAACCTATGCTTTTTTTGTGATATACTTCATGTGATACATGAGGGTAAGCAATCTGTGCTACTATTTCTATGAACAATGATCTGATTAACCCATAAAGTGGCATTTAAATTCTGCTTAATGAGACTAGAGCTGCCTTTTTCTTTCTTTTTTTTTTTTTTTTTTTTGTAGGTTGACTACACCTCGGCCAGTAGGCATTACTTCCCCATCACAGTCAGGTAAAGAATAGCTTTTCCCTAAGTGTGAGATGAATAAATATCCTTTCCCCATATGAAAGATGACCTCAGAGACTGTGTGATTATTCCCTTAATCTTATGTATGATATAAGAAACATAATATGACTAGATAACCACTCACAACAGATTGACTAGCCAAGTCAGAGGATGCCATTGGTGGCAACATTTTAAAAATGATTTTTCTGGTAATTTTTCAGTATACATATTTATCATAGGGAATTTTTACCTGTATGATATAATGTTTCTTTTTTTCTCCATTTCCCTACCCTCCCTCCAAACTGGTGGAAACTTTTCACCATGAACTTTTTTTTTTTTAGTTACACCACGACCCAGTTCCCAGCATAGTAGCCAGGTGGTGAGGTGAGTAAAAAGCCCATAAGCAAATTTAAACACTGGAAAAAATGGAAAATGAAAAGGAATATTTAGATATAGCTCAGATTGGGCCTGAAGAGAGTTTAAGTCTTTGTCCAAGTTTAACACCAGTTTTGTTTGCTTTTCTTGCCATTCTAGTCGGTCCTCCTCTGTGGAATCTATCCCTTCTAGAGTGCCTGGCTTTGGTACTATGGGACAAGTAAGTAATATTCACCTTTCCTTTCTAGACTGAAGTTTCTAATGCATAATGGAAGCAAAAAATTAAGACCAAAATCTTAAATTTTTGTTGTTTTTGGCATACATTATTTGATGTTATACAGACCCCATTTTGGTTTGGCAATAGAGACCAGATGTTCAAACCAAAAAAAAAAAAAAAAAAAGATGTTCAAAGCTAACAGGATAAATAGGGGTGGAGGTGATATAGGAGAAATGAAACTTCCAACCTGACAGGTACCTTGGATGAGTTTGTGTTTTCTAAAACCAAAGAATGAATTTTAGAAACAAACGGAGGTTAAAAGCATCATAATTACTGGGGAAAGAAATCTTCTATCTAAGAGAGAGGAACAGAAGAGGAGCCCAAATGGATATCCCTGGGATGCTGCCTCTTCCAGGGACTTTTGTAGAGTAAAGCCATGCGGTGAGGCGGGTCTAAGGTGGAGAACATGGGAACTCACTTAGGTGGTCTTGAGGTGGGACAAAACTGGTCAGCCAATGAGATTACAAGCACCATTGCTCAGGTAAAATTGATCAAATCAAGAACTGATTGGGGAAGTAAGTCACGTAGCAAGCAAGCACCAATATAGAACAGGAATTTATTGGGTAGCCAGCTGGTAGTGGTTGGATTAGTAACTCTTCCTGACTTCCTGAAGATGATGATTAATCCCGGATGCTTATCTTTGGGGAGGTCAGCATTTGTTTGATTTTTGGTCTTTAGGTCTGACCCACAGCAGGAGGTCTGGATCCCTCCCACTTACAACATATCTTGTGTTCTGTGCTGTCTCCCTGAGGGCTTAGCCCTGTCTGACTGCCTATAGTATTTCTATCTAATTTAGCTGCCTACAACAGAAGGAGTGAACATGTTGAAGGGCAAAGTAATGGTATTCATCATGTTCCTCTTCTTTTGTTTTCTTAGACAGAATCTTGCTGTGTGGTTAAGGCTGGACTTGAACTCTTCAACCTTCTGAGGGTTGGGATTATAGGCATGCAACACCACTCCTTGCTTCATCATTTTCAGTTTAAAAATAGTAAACTATAGGTCCTTCTTGGACTAGTATCCCCATTTCTGAGAACAATGTGTGCTTGAGAGTGTAGATATAAAGAAATAGCAGGGAATAGGGAAGCTAGACAACAGGATATATTTACTAATGTATACTATTTTTCCATCAGGAAGGCCGAGTCCTGCAGGGAAGAAACACTCCCAGAGACTCTACTATTGGTGAGATGCTGTGGGGAGTGTCAGAAGTCCACATAGCCAGGCATGGTGGTGCACGCCTGTAATCCCAGCTTCCTTATTCTTTGTAGCCTCATCAGCATGTTATTGTTTGATTTCTTGACGACAGACATTCATTCTAGAGTAAGATGGAATCTCAGTCAGGCATGGTGGTGCACACTTGTAACCAAGGCTGAGGCAGGAGGATTGTTGAGAGTTTGAGACCAGCCTGGGCTACAAAGTGAGTTCAAGGCCAGCCTGAATTACCTAGCAAGAGCCTGTCTCAAAAAGAAAAAAAAAAAGTCCACATAATCTGTGCAGAGACCAGCAGATTTCTGATTCTCTGTGAATCATGCCATTTTATTTTGTTTTTTTTCCAGACATTGATACCATGTATTAAAAGGTATTTTTTGTTGTTTTTTATGTATTTGGTATAGGGTCTCACGCAGCTCATACTCATAGTGATCTGTTTTCAGCCTTCTTAATGCTGAGATTACAGGTGTGTGCCACCACTCCTATACTAGGTCACCAGCTCAGTGCACCCAGGAGTGGGGCTAGTGCGGCATGTGATGCTGGGATGGAACCCCAGTCCCTCCGCTTGCCTAAGCAGCCTGCTTAGTCTGCTGAGCCATCTCACAGGCCCTATAAAACTTTTCAAATACTGGGGCCTGGGAGATGGCTCAGTAGAGTAAGCACTTCCCTGGCAAGCACAAGGATCTTAGTTCAATCCCTGGTTCTGCCAAAAAAAAAAAAAAAACCTTTTCAAATACTATTTTTGTTATTAAACTGACAAAGGGAAAATAAAAAGTTGAACAATAGAAATCTAAGGGAAACCT